TGTGTGTGTGTGTGTGTAACTGGCTTTTGTTACCTTTGTAGGACCTTTTCTGGTATAGCACCTACCTTGTCAGGACTAGTAGCCATTTTGGGCACCAAAGCCGAGTCACAACATGGTGGAACACAGTTTTTTTTTAAGTTGAGAGTCAGATTTAGGATTAAACTGTGAATGTATTTAGGGTACAGAAATAAGTCAATACACGGTCTATTTGTAACATTTCATGTTTCATGTTCTCTAGTATTATGTTTGCTTGTCATCCACAACCTCACAGCTCCACAGCTCTTGCCACACCCTTCCTGCTCAGTCACCCTAATCAAGCTCATCTGTTTCACCTGTTGTGGTTCCTTATCAGCTCCTCAGCCACAGCCACTCTCTGCTAGATTATTGAACGGTCTTTGCCAAGTAAATGTCCAGTGTTTTTTCACAGCCCATGCCTGATCACCTGTCCATGACCTCAAGTCTTCCTCCTGACTCTCCCTTTTTGCCTGATCCCTGCCTGGTACTGTTCATGTTTCTGACCATTGGATTAAGATCTCGTTTTTGCCCCTTGGACCTCGCCTTTTGGATTGTGTTTTGGATTTGTCTTCAGCTCTCTGATCACACGGACCCGACCTCTGCCTGCCTGCCAGACCAACGAATAAAACCTGCCCCTTTGCTCAATCACTGCCTCTCACTACCCACGAGCCACAGTCTCATTTTCTGGATTTGCCAAGCTCCTCTAACCACAGGGTTCCTACGGATCCTTAAAAAGTCTTAAAGGCCTTGAATTCATCAATCCAAAAATAAGGCCTTAATTAGCCTTAAAGTGTCTTAAATCAATCTTTCAGAAGTCTTAAAAATGTTAACACATTGTAAATAAGGTGCTGCAAATTTGTATCAAATATTAAAATCATTGGTAACATTTTTTTATTTTTGAAAAATTCACATTTAAACATTCCCTTTTGACACCACTTCCTGTTATTTCACATGCAAATATCTCAACAACTGTCCATCTGAGCAATGTGAAATTTGTTTTGTAATATGTTAATAATGTTGTCTTTCCAAAAATGCATTCATATTTCGTACAAACATTTTACATCACAAGAAGCAAGCGAGGGTTGAGAACCCACTGTGGGTCCTAAAACTCCAAATTTTGGGTCATTAGAGGATTTTCAGGAATTAAATGAAGTTTAAAATTGACTGCTAAGAAGGGTTTTTTTTAGCTATATTTGACAAAATAGCAGTTAGACATAGAGTTTCTGCCACAGTTTTTTTTTTGTTTGTGTTAATTGTGAAATTGGTCTTAAATTTGATTTCACTTGGCATTAAAATGTCTTAAAAAGTCTTAAATTAAACTTTCCTTAAACGGTAGGAACCCTGAACCAGCTTCAGAAGGTTAGTAATCAATATTTACAGCCAAAGCAAATCCTTTGCAGTGAACAGTCACTCATCTTTGTTCTCCTCCTCAGTGTGCACCAGCCCGAGACCCTGGCATTCCACCAGCTTCCTGTTTTTTTTAATAAAACGCTTAAACCTGCTCAATGTTTGGCTGTTCTGAATCCTAAACACAAAACTTGTCACTATTAGGATACAAACTTGTGTGAGTGTATGTGTTTCTATAAGATAAACACAGTTGAGGTCTGCATTTGGATTAATTTAGGCCATTTTTAATTGTAAATCTTGGGGAAATACCGTTATTAATGAAAAACTAGCAGTATACAGTATTGTTTTCGACCTTTCAATTGTGTGTGTGTGTGTGTGTGTGTGTGTGTGTGTGTGTGTGTGTGTGTGTGTGTGTGTGTGTGTGTGTGTGTGTGTGTGTGTGTGTGTGACTAGAAATAAGAGTGTTTATGTGACTCTCAGCTACTACCACAACAAATTTTAACTCAATATCTGTAAAATTGACCGAGTTAGAGAATTTTTTGTGTTTTTTAAGATCACTTGTTTTTGGTGGCTATCTTAAATTAGGTTGGCTCTAAATGTTGGTCAGATGTCAGGGGGTATTCAGTAAATATTTCTTGAAAGCATTTTTATTTGTGTATAATGTGAACAAAAGTTGGGGGGGGGGCCATATTATACACAGGAGTAATTTTTGACCATTTTTTTGCTTAAATGCTACCACAATAAATTAAAATATTTTCATGTATATACCGTAACTGAAATATTGTCACGGAGGATGTACGACATTGGGGGAAGCATTATACACGAGGATTACATTTTTTATGCTTGTCAAGCTCAAAACATTTATACAGTTATTAAAATTTGTCCATTGGTTTATTACATATTTTGCAAACAAACAATTAAATCCATATAATTAATGGCAAAATGGTTAAAGATTTTGTGTGATCTATCAGTAAAGCTGTTTTTGCATCAAACTGTCTTAGTTTGGAATAAATTCAGTGGAACACTGCTTATTTGATCAATTTTCTCACATTTTTCTGAACAAGTTGCAAGTTATTTATTAAATCTTTTAATATTTCAGATTCAGAGGTGGTATACAGGAACAGAGACGGTAATGTCATCAAGTTTAATTTTATCCTGAACGAGACGGAAATCCTTCTGAGCAACTCCACCTTTGTAAGTTTTTTTCCGCTTTCCTAATTTTGCTTTATTCTTTTAACACACACACACACACACACACACACACACACACACACACACACACACACACACACACACACAGTATTCCTGACATCAATGTGAAAGTGTGAAATAAAGGGAAGGACCGATGACCAATGAAGCCTCAGTTTCAGAACTGGAATCATTTTGACCCAAGGGCAGCAGGAGGGCTAAATGAGACTCATCAGTGAAGCATCCCACCACTTACCGTAACGTTCATGATAAATAGATAAAATTTGTATTTTTTGTGTGAGTGGTGGAACAGATGTTTGAGAAGACAAGCCTGTGATTGGGAGGTCACAGGTTCAAATCCCATGAGTGGCACAAATAATTTGGGTGGGGAAGGTGAAGCACACACATCTGCCTCCACCCTCTTTTACCTCACTGTGGGCACTAGGGCAAGGCATTTTACCCCCTTCCGGCCGCTCCCTGGGCACCTTAGCCCTGCGTCACACAGCAAGATTTTAAAACTGTTGGCTGATTTTCAAAGACTGAGAGCACACACGTGAGGATAAAAAAATCATGGATCTACCAGGTTTGGTCCTACATTGTGTGGTGTACAGCCACACGGCAAGAGACAACACACCACACACGTAAAGATATTTCATTCATGAACATTCGGCTGTTAGATGTGAAATCACATGAGATTTCTTGAAATCTCGCGAGAATTCAGATGTCAAGAGGAAAAATCTCACGTGACCTCCAGAGAGACGTGAGTTCAGAGTAAATAAACATTTGCGACGAGGAAGAAACAATGTTAATCGTTTGTGGACTATTTTTACCAGAGGAAAAACAATTCCATAGGACTTAACATCTAGTAGACTTTCTGGTGAGTCATGACAGTTTTTTTGTCTTTTATATTTTGGATTCCCCTCCATGTTTACGTCACCTCGCCTTCTGATTGGCTACACGTCTCATTCAACAGGCTGAGAGCTCGGCTGAACACTACACACACTGTGATATTGGGCCCAAAAAAAAAACCATATTGAATATCCCCGATTGGAGCGGTCCCGATGTCCTTCTGAACCGCCTAGATCACTCTGAACTCACCACCCACGGCAGGAATATCTGCTCAGATTATCGTTAGAGCCATCACGATAATCTGGTGACAAGTTTCAGATTAAGGATTCAGAACAGGCGGAGACCAAACAAGTTTAAAGGTTTTATTTTGAAAACCGGAAGTTGGCGTCTTGTCGGACTCTCGGGGATGCACGCTCTGTAGAGCAGAACACAAATGAGTGTTGGGTCAAGAATGGATTAATGACAAAAATGAAGTTATCCACTGACCTGCTTTTAGCTGGATGAAACTCCTCAAAGTTAAGAGCTGTGCAGTTTTTGTTTGATGAAGTCTGTGTGACGAGAGTGGGGTAAGGCTGAGTGCGGTAGTCCAGAATTGGGTCAAGTGTCAGAGCCGGGAGATCAGAGAGCCGAAAACAAATCCAAATCACAAACCAAGTTGCGATGTCCAGAGAGGAGAAACAGGGTCTGTAGCCGAGAGTCAGAGGAAGCAAACAATCCAGGAGAGGAACAGGCTGTGGTCGGAGGTCAGAAAGCAGGCAGAAGGTCAGAAACATGAAATCAGGCAATGACTTGACAAGGATGCTGGATATTTACTAGACTGAGGCTGTTCAATAGTCTGGCACTGGTCTGGAGAGAGACAGGAGCTTAAATAGGCCAAGGAACAGGTGATCGAAATGAAGGTGATTCCTGGAACAGAGAGGCGTGGCAGGAGACTGAGTGACAGGCAAAAATATAACATAAAGACGTCCTTAAGGTCGTTGGAAGGGCAAAATCAGGCCAAAATTCAGCACAATTATCCTGCTGTGTGACACAGGCCTTAGATGGTGGCCAACATGTGTTCTCGCATGCGAGATGGGAAAATGCAGAGAAATAGTTTCCCCAGTGAGGATTAATAAAGTACATTTATTCTTACAAAATCTTTTAAAAATGACGAGGATGTACTTGTTAAAGTTTTACTATTTACTTACTATATAATGAAATTGTTATATTTTTATGAATTTTTGTTTCTTATAGTCTCAGTTGCTTATTTATGTTCAGCATGATTTACTGTTGGATTAAGTTAAATGGTGAGTTAAGATATTTTTTTATTAACAGGTGGCTTTTAAGGTGGCAAAATACTCACTCTCTCCAGATCTGAAGTATGCCCTGTTTGCGTATGATGTCAAACCGGTAAGTTTCAACTTAAAGCCAAATTCTATATTTTTTAAAAATAAAAACAGTTGTTGTATTTTTCATTTGCATCATTATAATTATCCCGAACCGTTCCCTCTCATTGTTCTTGCCTTTATTTCCTGTCAGTCTGACATTGTGCTCCAGTGAAACTCCCACAGCAGTTGTCACTTCTCTGCCTGCACACACACACACACACACACACACACACACACACACACACACACACACACACAC